ATATACATATTATTCTTTTCTCTTTGTTTTAATGCACCCAAAACATATTTTGAGAATTTAAGTGTGTACCTTTTTTAGTGGTTCATTCATGTTATCACACTATTTTATAAACTTTTACATTGCCTACTGATTCACATTACATTGTTTTTTCAGCAATATTATATTTCAACAGAAACAATCCCCATGCTAAACTGGGAATGCTAGCTGCTATTRCTATTTGCATTTGTTTAGCAATATTTTAATGTTACTAATCTAAAATAATATTTTGAATAAACAACTGTTCAAGTAAATCAGTTAAAATTGTTTTAGCTGAAGCAGAAGAAGCATTTTTTTTTCCACAAAACTGCTGTTTTAAGCCATCATACAGCACAGACTGGTAAATGAGATTGGTGAACCGTTTTAATAGTATAAATTATAAAAGACCATTTGATCTTGGTCATGATTTTCTGCATAATTAGGAACAAACGTAATACATTTTCATGTTTCCATCAGAATGTCTTCACCTGTTGGCACATCTCCTCAGTTCACATTAAGCCTCAGTGTGAGTTTCAGAAATGTTTAGTCAATGTTTTAAAACAATTCTCTCCTCCTAATTTTATGACACAATTACAATAATTCCTGGTTGCCAWACCAGCTCCTCTTTACTCATACTCAAAAACGCCCTCCATTACTTTATTTTCACATGAAGCTCTAATGTATATTTTGCAGCAGTAGGATAGTTCACGTCCTTATGTTTTTGGCTGACAAACCAGCTTTCTTTATAAGTGTGTCACTTACAGAAGATTCCTTGCTGCTGGATTGCTGGAACATTTTCTGTAAAATTTATAATCATCTTGCTCTCCAACTCTRTCATTAACCATTTTATCTCCTCTGACGAGTCACTGACACTTTGGTATGTAGGGTGTGTTTGTCTAGTGCAGTAGTATGGTTTTCCAGTTGTGATTTAAGCACCCAGTTAAAACCTTGCTATTCCTGCTATTCTCGTTCTGAGTCTTTTTGTCTGTTTTTGCAAAGCTGCAGAGGAAATAATCCTTCAGTCATCCAAAAGAAAAAAAAGTCCTGAAAATATTGTTTTTTTTTTCCTTCTTAGAAACCCAGAGTCACAGTTCTGTGTCAAAGAAATGCAAGTGATAGAGATTGTCTCTTGAATCTTAAATCCTTCACCCTCTCCCTCCTCTCCTTACTGTCTGCAGTGGCCTGAATAACATTATATTTCCTAGAAATGGGTTTGCAAAAAAGCGTCAATGTTTAGGTGAAAATTGCCACATGTTTCAATTAAATCAAGTTTTTACTGAAATGCACTTGAGACACACTGAGACAAAAGCTTAATTAATTTAATTACAACTGTATAAATATGAAACTTATTTTGGAGTGCTAAATCAACTCAAGAGCTGCTTGAATTTTCTCTATCTTTGCAAATTTTATTAAATATGTTAAGGATATAAGAGTAAAAAATGACAACTTCAAACTATATTTTTTCTACCTGAATTATTTTATATAAGTATATTACAACCTAATACTCAAATGTATCCAACTAATAATGTCATTATAAGTTGTTCTCCTGCTCTTAACAAAGTCATGGCTCGAACCAGTCATAAAAATTGGATAATCTCCATATGTGTGGAAAGACTAGTTAATTCAAACAAAAGCGAGAAACTTGTCTTCTACTCAAGAATGATTGAGTGTGCTGTCATTTTTTGTATTCTTTTTAAACCAGCTTCAGACAGGTCGGATTGGTTATGATGGTTATTTTATCGTTGGAGTCAAATATTTTGTTAAATTCCTGGTTGTTGAAGCTTAAACATAAAGTCACATTTGGAAATGGTTTGTCTTAAAAGGAAATAAATAAATCTCAAATATTTAGGTGCTTGTTACTCCTGACAACAAAACAACTGTCTCTGAATTTGGCAGCCAGAGTACTGACTCACTACCAAGCAGGAAAGACTCCAACTCAGAAAACATCTTGACTGAACTTTTTTCCTTCTCTTTCTTACTTCAAGCATGTTGATGAAGATGTTGGCCGTAGTTTAAAATGAATGATTCTTCTTGTGAAATGAGCCAGGTAAGACTTAGCGAGGTAAAGAGATAATAAAAAAAGTTGTAGAGAAAGAAGTCGTAAGTAAAACAAAAAAGCTGTTCAAAGAAGAGAAAAAGCCAGAATCTTAAAAGCCTGTATTTGATGGGTAAGTCAAACACCAAAGCCAGAATGTTTTGGGAAATTATTTCCCTTCAAACGTCAGCGACTTTGGTTGAGAGCACATCTGCCTTTCAGAGAGTACAGTTTTTTTTCCACCCAACAGGACCACTGAGATCAGGTAAACACCTTTTTATATAGTGCCAGTTGAAAAGCCAAGAGAAGTGCACTCAGGCAAGTGAAGAGCTATGCTTCTAAGCAGCTATGCTCAGATTAAAGTTCCCCACCGGCTCGGTTCAAAAAGGTCAAACCCCACTGCCGTGGCCTTCATGTTTATGTCAGATCTTTTTAAACTTTATTTGGAAACTGGTCAGTGGATTACAATGTGATMTCGACGGGGAGCAGTTTTTCACAGTAAGGAAGTTGGTTTAAAAGTTGTTTCAGGTTGAGTTTCATTGGTTGAGTAACGACCCTGCACCATTACAGCTCCTTACAGAAAGGAGATGAACTGGCACCACGTTGCTTTCTCACTTACCATTTTTCGCCAGCTGCAGTGGAGTTGGTTCTTACACTGTTCTCTAATTGTGGAGTAGTTTCAACCAAATCTAGATGGTTTTCCGCTTTAAGGGCAATATTACTGCAACATTTCTGTTTTTAGTAAGAGTTTCTGTCAAGTGGTCAAATGTGGAGGTTTTTTTTTAGTTTTGACTGGAAATACTTGCTTCCCCATGTTAGCTTGTTGCATAATGTCCCATGTTTTCTGTACAATCAGTTGACTTAGCCTCACAAATGCATCACAATGTCAGGACATAGAACCATATCTATAACACTAAACCAAAACAAAAATTAAACCTTATTGAAATGTTTTGGATCATCTAAATAAAAATACTGCCTAAAACCAGTCAAATCTGATGAAGAAATCTTTCTCCTTTTTTTAGCAAAGTCAGTAAAGCAAAGCAAAGCTCAAACACTTGTTTTGATATAAATTCTCACATTTATTTTTACATCATCTTGAATTTTTTTTAGTATTTTTTGTGGGGATATTTAGATAAATTATATATCAGTCCATTTTCAAATGAAAAAAAATTATAGTTCTGAGGACTGATGGTTTCCATTTTTGGAAATATTGCTTGAAACAAGTCGTCTGTTTCTTAACGTATGAATTCATGTCGCATGTGTTGGTCCTCACAGTTGGGCTGCAGGACAAGTAATCTCATCAGGAGTAACAATATATTTTTGCAAGAGGCTCTGGTTTAAAGAAAACTGTTTCCATTTATCAGAGTTTAAAAGCAGGTAATTGTCATCTAGACCTTTTATGTGTTTTAAAGTAGCCATGTAGCTGGGGCTTCAAGAGATTTTTAGTTTTGGACTGATTAGTAAATCTGAATGAAAAATAACTGGTTGTTCTCTTCARTCCATGTTTGGAGGAATGTGAATCTTTTAATAACTGAGGAGAGATGACTCATTGGAATAATTTGATCAATAAATCACTGAACCCTCTCACTTTTTCTGATAATGAAGGCCACATGAACTGATTCAGTTTTGCCTCTGTTGTTTTCCCACAGTCATAAAGCGTGATGAATTTAGAAATTATCTCAGTGCTTCGTGTGGAGTTATTGCCTTTCTGGGACTCCTGTGCTCCTAAATAAGCAGTTTGTAGAATAGYTTTTCCCCCTCCATTCATTACCGAAACTTGCAGGTTTTTTAAAATCTATAATAAGCCCATCTTGGTTTCTGGCAGCCTAGTTAGGTGAGAGAAAATAACTTCAGTCWTCTCTTAATTTAAGCAGATGCATGGAAACAAAACCGATGCTTTTACTTTTATTAGAAATCTCACTGGGAGCAATTACGTTTGAGCAACTTTGGCTGTTATGAAATATTAATTTCACCCTATGATTGTGTATTTTTTTTCTTTTAAGTGTTTTTGTTTTTACTTTAACAATTTCGGCAATAATCTATTTTGTCATTTTTCAATTTTAGAAGGTAATGTCAGCTCACAGTTAGAAAGTAGGATTTAATATGATCAAYTGTGAATCATGTTATGCTGATGTGAGTCCGCCGAGTTCATTTTAAGTCCAGATCACTGTGGTGCGAAAGGAATGCTGCTGGTGTTAATTAAAAAAACTTAATATGATTAATTAGGAAATTAGTAGTCTTCTGTCATATTATTTTAAAGATGATGTAACTAACTAACCTTTTATAAAGAGGAGGCAGTTAAACAAACAATGGTGCAATTTTAGTAGGAAAARCCATCTTTGTCTCCACAAGCATAAATAATGCATTTATTCATTACAAAAGAAAATTTACAGAGATGCTTCTTAGAAAATAGAAATTATGCTAACTTCATTCTTGTGAATTATTTATATTTTTCTTATCCATTTTTAATTGTTTTGAGTTTTTTCAATTTTTGCATTTAAAATGACTTAAAATGAGTTAAGTTCCTTTTTTCTACACTTTGATCCACTTTGTCATTATTCTGGGGAGGTTTTAGTTTGAACCTCATTCAAATTTATTATTGCACACTGGTTGCTGTAAAAAGATTAACAATCCAGTGATGAAAAGCATAACTGCTTGATTTAATTACACAATCTTAATCTGCCCTATGATGAGTTCACTGAGTCATGGAGGTCCAAACATCTGTGATTTATTTATTTTCTTTTTTTCATTATGGCATTGATTACATCATATTTTAAACCAAACTTTGTTTATATTACAGAGAGGAAGGCCTTTTTACTCAGACCTGCTGCGGGTTAATGGAGTCAGATTTTTGAGTAAAAGATTTTAGAAGAGAATCAACTGGTTTTCTGYAAACTTATTCTAAYTTCCAATTTATTGAACACATTGTTCTGTCATTACTGTGTTACAGACGGTGGACATCCATAAAGAGAAGGTAGCCAGAAGGGAGATTGGGATCYTGACTACAAATAAAAACACGTCAAGGACTCATAAGATCATAGCACCAGCCAACATGGAGCGACCGGTCAGATACATCAGGAAGCCCATTGACTACAATGTGCTGGACGATGTCGGCCACGGTGTTAAGGTAAGCCCTTATTCTGTTTTTCCTGACTTGATTATCTGGGATTCTGCTTTAGAAAAGATTTCTCAACACTCAGTCCTTTTTATTTAGGTCTGCCTCTTGTGTTTTTTTTTCTTCAACTTTCCTTGCCTAATTTTCCTCCCACCCCCTTCGTTRTTTTCTTGCCAGAGGTGTTCCTGTCTCTCTCCTTCTCTTTTCGCACACCGACTCTTTTTCTTGCTCACACTTGTGTCTCTTGTGCTTTCTCTTTCATCTTCAGAAAGCACCCTTTTCTGACCCTACAGGAAAGTTTTTGAGTGGGAGATGGTGGAAACCGGTTGGGGGGGAGGTGGAGAAAAAGTAGGAAATGATTACATCATGTAGCTTTTGAGAAAAAAAAAGCTTTTCTATTCTTGGAGCTTTGTGAAATAGCTGAGACCATCTTTTTTTGAGACATTTTAAAAAGCACTTAAGTCTTCATAATCTTGTTTTGGAGTTATTTGGATAACAYAGTTCAATCTGATAGGTGGAGAAGAAGCTTTTTGATTTGATAATCATCTCTGCCATTAGGGCTTCCACTCGGAGTCATGAGATTGTTCTGACAGTGACATAATTTCCTGATGCTTACAGGCATTTTATGCTACGTTTAATCTCCCTCTTGAGTGTCGTCTGCTCCATCAATCAGACAATCAATTTTCAGCTGTCAGACTGATTGGATTAGCAGCCCAACATTACCATTTCATATATTGTTACAGGCATTGATAAGTCAATATAAAAGTCACTGATTCACTCTCGGCTAACAAAATTACTGCACCATGTTTAATGAGGTGTTTATTTTTAATTTGTATTCAGCTATTCCCACAAATGGAAATATTACGTTTGTAAAATGTAGCCATTTCTTGTTAAATCAAATGAACCTGCTATTTTCTGTTCAATAATAACAAAACTTAAACATGAGGTACTGGTTACAGGAAATAGCATTATAAAGAAGTAAATACTTCTTTAGTCCTGTTCAAGGAAATAACAGACTGTGTGTAAAACAGAAACTCAAACTTCTAGTTGTAATCCTTAATGAGGTTATTTGAGTTTTGGCTCTAACAACCGTAGTCAACACGGATTTAAAGAAGTATAGAAGAAGGAAGGATGTCACGTTCTTCTCACCTTAAACTTATTTTTGCACTTATCATGCTAATTGTATGTGAATGTTTAGTCATTTAGCAGACTTTTTCTAAAGGAGTGTTGTTCAAGCATCAGTACAGTAAGAAACCTTATGAGCATTGAAAGGCAAATCTAGTTAAAGAATAATGTTCAAGTAAAAAAACAAATGCAAGGCTGCAAGGTCCATTTGAAACTTTTATCATCTTTGTTCAAGATGTTTGCACAGAGACTGTTTTTGGGTAGTATGGCTCACCTCATGCAAAGATTGACCAAATGTCTCGCACTCAATTCTTTTGGACAGATTACCTGTGCTGAAATTAAACCTTTTAGGAGACCATTATTGATATTTTTAGGCCTTTTAGATTATTGTTCAAACATTTTAAAATACTATTTAGTAGTAAACTGTAACTTTAAAAGATATGAACTATTTCTTTAAGTAGGGGTTCTGTTTAAACATTATTAATACCACTTCTGACCTGTTGTAGATCACTCTGAACAACCTCTGTTTGAAGAAATAAACCTGATTGATGAGCTAACGACATTAAAATTGTGTCACCGTGAACAACTGAGCAGGTCCGTCACCATTTATAACGACTCCAATCTCAGATTTGTCATAGTAAATCATGAAAACTCTATTTTACAGATTTTATATTTCATATTACATGATTATTTCAGCAGAAGCTTAATATTCCTACAAGTAGTGCCTCAGATTGCACAGTAAGTACTGCAGTTAACTGATATTATTTGCACTAGCACATAACTTTATACTGTAAATAATCATGTAATACCAAATGAATATATGAAGTGGTGTTTGCATGAACTTCTAAGTTGTTTTAAAATTGCAGCGATCCACTTTGATTTCTGTCCCACTCTTTAACCATTAGCTTCTTAATCCAATCAGAATTAAGCTATTTCTCTATAGTGAGGCCATTTAAGCAACTATTTACAACATGTAGGATATTATTTGTTCATAACATCTCCATTAAACCCCTGTTAAAGTACCCATAAAATATAAATTAATATAAATACATTTGTTTTACTGCATTCAGTTTAATGCAGTGATGATAAATTTGCATTGGGTTACATTTGACTCCACGGTCTAGAAAACAGAAATTAAATCAGTAAAAATGTTGTGTTTTACAGCTGCCATAAAACAGTTTGGCTTGTTTATTTTAGGAGCATTGTGTTTTACACCGAGCCAAATCTCTTTTAGATTTTCTTGTGTTTAATGGTTGATATATGCTGCATTTAGTCTGTGAATGTGGGAAACATAAACACCCACACATTTCTGCCATAGTCTTCATCACTAAACTTTTCTAATATGTTCATGTCACAGAGCAAAGAGCCAGTCGATACTTTATGTCAATACTCCATCTTAATTCATGTAGTATCTGAGCAGCCAGAGGCCTGGCTTGCATACAGTCACTGCAGATATGGTTTGCTTACCAACCAGAATCAATAGTAAAAGAAGGGCTTAACTCATGTTTATTGGCTGCAGTTTACTGTTAAACTCACAACATCTGCCTGAGGGTTCATGCTGGCCTAAATGTTAGCTTTGTTTTACACAAAGTGAGTATTGTTAAACACATAAAATAAAAAAAACAGCAAGCAGTGGTTGCATGCAATATTAAAAAGGCTGTTGTATCAGAATAAGATTTAAATTGGGGTGGGGGTATCAATGTAAGAGAGTATAATAATCTTAACACACATCAGTAGTAAGTGAAATTGTGTTTTTCAGAATCATTAAGAACGATTAGCAAAGTTTGTGAGCAGATGTCGGCTACCAAATCTGCTTTTTACCTATGCGACTGTAAATAGGTCAACAATGGCGAACTCCATGGAAGAACTGTTAGTAGAATACCAAAAGATATGCAACACAATCTCATACTACACTATATAAAAACTATCTGAACTGCCATGATATTCTAGTGAACTTGTTGTACATTTAAGCATGTAAAACGTAGACATCATTTTACTTATCAGTCTTGTTAGAGCTGCACATCAGTGGTGAATTCCTTTGTGTTCCTGGAACCATGTAAACATGATGTGTTCACATTGTGGTTTCTACTGCATAGACATGTTGTTGTCCAGAATATATGTGTTGTTGTAAGAGTACAAACATCAATACAGTGTTTATTTTATTTTTCAGTACCAGTTGTGTACTATATGAGGTAATACAATGCACACTAATATAAGAAACATATTTAATAATTTTATCTGCAGCCTGGACTTTTTCATATTGTGGTAACAAGAACTAAACTCAAATATTTTCTACCTCATGGAGGTAGAAAATATTTGGATTAATGTGCACTTCCTTTTTATGCCTGCATTGGGACAGTAACTGGTGCTCCAAATGGAATGTTTTGGCCCAGATTTCCCTTATCTAGGTATCCTTTTAGGTCCAGAAGTGTTGGCTGTTCACAGTTTGACAGTTTTTGGACTAAATGTGATGCGTTCCAGGCTGAACCGTTGAAAAACTGTTTCTTGCTTCACAACAAAAGCCAGCTGGTGTGTCACTTGCTGTGCTTTTTCTGAATCACTATCTTTTGAATCAGCAGCTGTGAAAGTTGTTGATTTGCTATAACTGTATATTAGAACATAGCTTTGGGATTATGCTGAGAGAGAAAGAGTTGTTTAAAAGGAATATATTGAAGTGAGTCATCAGGAACTAATGTGACCTTAGGTACTGTAGATCAACCACTGGTAGCTCTGCTTGATCACAGCTCAGTAGATTTATCTGAGCTCAACATGCTAAAGCTTCATGAATCTGATAATAATCATAATCTGAATCTGTCTGTCCATAATCTATTATTACACATTGTCTAACTGAGTCAATGGAACAGGATTTATAAGAAAAATGAGACAAAAAGGCTTCAGACTCCTATCATGAACTGCATTCTAAAATGAATCTTGTCAACAGAGACATTTAAATCTAAAATCTTCCTTTCATAGTTGAGTTGAAGGCTTATTGAAAGAGATGAAAAATGCTACTAAATTACTTTGAGTTTGGTCTCATTGTCTTTCTCTTAATTTGTGGTGCTATAATGCTTCCTACAAAAGCCACTGCATAGATGAGCTACTTGAAACGTATCTGTCAAACTGCAGATCAACAAACATCCTGGCTCTTTTCAAAAACAGCTCACATGTATCAGGTAATATGTTTTTATGAAATAAAAAAAATAATAAATAAAGTTTAACAAATATGATGTTCTTTGTTTTAAAGGGATCCATGATTAGTTGTAACATTAGACTTTATTTGATAAACATTTATATTTAAC